TATCAAAGTACGAGTATCATCATTCATCATTACAGCCCTTCACAAGTCCACTGCTGAACATAGGCCTCCCCCAAAGAATGCCACAAAACACGGTCCTGAGCCACCTGCATCCATCGACTTCCTGCATGTCTTACCAGGTCGTCACTCCATCTCGTGGGGGGACGCCCTACACTTCGCCTACCGGTACGAGGCTGCCACTCGAGAACCTTTCTTCCCCATCGGTTGTCGGTTCTTCGAGCTATATGGCCGGCCCACTGCCACTTCAGCTTACTAATCCGTTGGGCTATGTCGGTCACTCTGGTTCTACTGCGGATATCCTCATTCCTAAGTTTATCACGCAGAGAAACTCCGAGCATAGCCCTCTCCATAGCTCGCTGAGCGACCTTGAGCTTCCTCATACGGCCAGCAGTGAAGGACCACGTCTCAGTTCCGTAAGTCATCACTGGCAACACGCACTGGTTGTACAATTTCGTTTTAAGGTTTTGAGGTATGTCTGACGAGAAGATGTGTCGTAGCTTCCCGAACGCTGCCCAGCCGAGTTGAATCCGTCGATTGACCTCTCGGTCGAAGTTGGACTTACCCAGTCGGACTATTTGTCCCAGGTAAACATACTCGTCAACAACTTCGAGCTTAGTGTTCCCAACAACTACCGGTACGAGTATACGACTATCTATAAGTACGAGTCTGTAAATACTATAAGTACGAGTATACGACTATCAAACTCCAGTAGCCTATAGACATCTTCTTCGTCATTCTTGGTAGAGACGTCTCGCGATTTTGACGCTTCTCTCCGTCGTTGGTCTGGATATTTTGCGTCCGCCGAAGTAACCGACGTAGCTCAATGAATCAGTTAGCTAAAACTAGGCCGACTATACAGCGAAAAACCGACCGAAAACGGACGGGGAAGGAAGGTTCTTGAGTAGCCCGTACCGGCAAGCGAAATGTATCGCGGGCCTCACTAGATGGAGTGATGACCTGGTAAGAGATGCGGGAAGTTGATGGATGCAGGTGGCTCAGGACCGTGCTTTGTGCATTTCCTTCGGAGGCTGATGTTCATAAGTACACATGTGATGGGCTGTAAAGAATGATGATAATGAAGGCGAGATTACACAGTTATAGGCCTGCAAATAATTTATTTCGCGTGGGATTCGAACTCGGTGCGTAGCGCTGTGTCCAAACACTTAGTCAGCGAGCCACTGAGCCGTCAGTCGCTTACGCCTTATCGTGAGGACAAATATAACTTGGAGTAACCCTGTAGTGACGGTGTTAGAATATCCACTAACCCATATCGTCCCGAGAAATTCGTAAGAGGCAACAGAGGGAAAATGAAACACGAAATGGGCAGCAGCATCTTCTAAATAACAACACAAAGTAATAAAAAAACTGCGGTTGCCAACCAGCTTGCCATGCGTGGCTACGTATGGCAAAATCCCACCCATGAGTCAATCTATGAAGGAGGTCCGTGTCCTGCAGTGGGCTTTTATACGAGTTATGCTATTGAGTACCAATACGACTTAGGAACCTTAAAAAAAAAGAGCCTTCTCCTATTTAAAAGGCCGCAACGCACCTATAATACCTCTGGTGTTGAAGTTGTTCATGACGGCGGTAGTCACTATCATGTGAGTCGCAGCTCGTTTAAATTGGAGATGTCGTGGAGGGATTGATTTTGTTGATAGAGAGAGCATGTGATTATTGGAAGGGTGGTGGTACTCTTTAAATTCATAGTGTTATGGTTAGTTCCACTTGATTTCTAACCAATCCGTCATGCTACAGTGGTGAGTATGGACAATTTTTTAAGTTACTGATGCCATTTGGTGCATTCTTGAACAGTCCTATGTATAGCAGTGGTAGGGCTGATATTTAATATATTCGAGTGACAAATAAGCTAATTACCCAATTAAATAAAAAGCAACTTTAAACAAAGAAGGCCACCAATGCGTTTTTTTTTCACCCCTAAGGACAATGGATCGAACGTCTCACACCAGTAAATAAACTGGTACCTAATAGATATCGTCTAGTTTTAAATTGCACGCGCCTCCCTTGTGTTTTTGGTAAATTTTGTTACATTTACCGTAGATATTAAATATTATAAAAGCTAAACCTACCATTTCTATTATGTTTAGTAGATTTTATATGTTAAAAGTGATAAAATCGACCCAAAACACATGGCAGGCGCGTGCAGTTTTAAATTAGACGATCCCTCAAATGTTTGGCTACAACATTAACTTAGAAGAGGTACCAACCCAGATAACCTTTCAGGCAGAAAATGACCCATAACGCCTAGTAAATAAGAATAAAAAGATCTTAAACAAAGAAAGGGTGAACGTACAACGTATCCACGTTTTTAGGGTTTCGTACCTCAAAAGGAAAAAAACGGAACACTTATAGGATCACTTTGTTGTCCGTCTGTCTGTCTGTCTGTTAAGACCCTTTTTCTCAGGAACGCGTGGAGGTATTAAGCTGAAATTCAAAAATCAAATAGTCAAGTCTACTGTCTCTTGAAGCTATGAAAAAATCAAACTTCTAAGCCAACGCAATCAAAAGATACAGCCGTTTATGCCGCAAATAATCGACATTCGCAAGGGAATCAAAACCTACAAGATACTTTCCGTGAACTCAGGATATTGAAATTTGGTACAAAGCAACGTTTCATAGCACAGATAAAGGAAAAATTACAAAAATTATAAATTCTTAGTTACATCATATAATAAAAATATTTTTAATAATATTAAACTTAATACCTACGGATTTGTTCGGAACCCTCGGTGCGTGAATCCGACTCGCACTTGACCGGCTTTTTAAAGAAAAATCAAGTAAAATTACAAAATATTAATTTACCAATGAAATCCAGCTTCACGGCAAACACTTGCACCAGAGAATATTCAATAACTACGTTTAATACAGAGATTCCTGAATGGGTTCTGCGAAATCATTCATTTTCACACTTCGGTACAAATATTATTTTGAGTTGGCGCAAAATATGTAATGAGAAAAACATATTACTGTTATGTAGATATGTAGATACTAATTTCACTGTCTATGATATGTAGTAATTTGATGTGGGGTTCCATAAAACAAAAGGGATTAGATGAGTGTTCCAATAACTTAAAAGTTTGGGGACTCCTGGTTTAATAACATAGTATATTACTACATTACTCGTTTGTGTTATTCGAGGCAAAAGCCTTGTTTTACTTCTGCCTAAGGGCACAGTACACGTAGGCAGCTTAGGGCAATAACAACATTGTCTTTACATTACCATTTTATTGGCGCACTGCTCCCCTGGTAGCAATGATACGTACCTAACCTAATTTATAAAACAGAATATATTGATTTTGTTTTATAAATTAGGTTATAATATATAATGGATGGCATTTCATCAATTAACAGGCATTTTAAAAACTATCAATATATTGTTTTTTTTAAAGGATAATATAGTTTTTTTTTTTATAGGATAAGGGTGACCAACGAGCACACAGTAAGTGGTTGCTGCGGCCCATAGACATCTACATCTATCCTCGTTTGCGAATCAAAATGCAGATGCGTTGTCACCCGTGAGGACTAAGATGGAATGCCTCATTTCCAGTAAAAAGGGCTTCCGGCCACCTGCACTCACCAAGCGAAACGCAGAGGTAAACCTCGACTTCAGGCTGGTATTCTGTGAGGTCATGGTACCACCCCGGTTCGAGCCGGCCCATCCGTGCGACAGCAAATGCTGCCGCGTGGCTCTACCACTGTTGAACGTTACGCTACTAACATTATTAATAATTCCGATAACCAATCCAAGTAAGTAAGCTTGTGTTAGGATAATTGTCTTCTAAATGCATTTTAACATTTTGACATGAAAAACAAATATATTAAGGTGTCTTATCTGATATTATGGGATTAAAGCTACGACAGTTCCGAATACATTAGGTCACACAGTAATCAATAATGGAGAGCAGACAAGCTGCGTGCGCATCACAACAGCGTGACGTGTTCTTTACGACACCAGCAATTAATTATGAGAGCCATACCAGAAATTATTTTATTATAAATTGAAATGTATTGAAAGACGTCAGTTCTACGATCCGTGTCCAACACCTATACAGCGCGTGCCAGCTGCGAGCCTGGACCCGATAACGAGCGGAACGGCAACGTCGCACTCCCAGTAGCTGCGATGAGCGATGACGTTGTTCGATCGTGTTCACTGTGTGTTGCCAACCTGAGACTTTTGTACCATAACGGGGAAATTTTTGGTAAATTATATTAAGTAAATGAATGATGTGAGAAGTCAATATTTCTTAAAAGGATTAAATATTTTGAGAAATATTTTAAAAGCAAAATATTTTACACAGAAAAAATCAACAATTAAAGAAGCTTAAGATCACGTAATTCGGAATTATAGGAACCGGAAGTTTAATCAACTTAAATTGATAGATTATTATATCGCCTATAACCTCTTAAAAATTAACTAAATAGTCATTCTAAGTCCGAATTTCAGTTAAATTTAATAATATGCATTAATATATTAATGTTATAAATATAAAAAATGTTTCTTTAAATTAAAGAATTGATTTGTGAGATAGCTCTCAAATATAATTTTTAACTTTATAAATAAAATTTATTTGTAAGAGACTTCATCAAAAAATAAAATTATCTATTTAAAAAAAATACGCATATAATGTAAATTATAAATACTCCCTTTTAAACAATGGAATATTTCATATACTTAACTACACGCTATAATTTTGTTAAGGAATATAATACTTCTACTAATTTTGCGATATACGTACATTGCATATTTTTAATTATAGAATTAGAAACAGAACGCGATAAAACCCTTAGGTGTTTGGGGATTCTTTTGAGGGCAATTTGTTTTGGAGCTGGTAATCCTACATCTCTACTAGACTTCACACGGGGCACGCACGCGTCACGCAGTGGTGCTGCACGGGTGTTGTGCGTTACGATAGCTAGTTATAATGAAATATTAAAATTAACAATAAACAGGCTTAAAACTCACAATGACTATGCAAATTAAAGAAAAACTTATAGAGCTTGTGCGGCAATATGAATGTCTATATGATTACAGACATAAGGAATACAAAAATAATATACACAAAACTTTACTATGGGATGGAATTGGAAGGACGTTGAATATAGAAGGTAAGCATTTTCTATAAGTTTAAATATGCTTTTATTTGTACTTACAATTTGTTCAAACTACAATTACTTAATAGTTACGCGAATAATCAAATAGAAACAACCAACTATAGCTTATCACAGGTGAATCAAAAGAACTAAAATAAACCTTCTTTGACGTTTGGCGATCTCTGTCTACAAAGTTTATAGACAGAGATCGCCAAACGTCAAAGAAGGTTTATTTTATAGTATAAACTAATGAATGAAGTAATCAAATACAAAAGAGAAAGACTGAGTGAGGGGGGGGGGGGGACACAGCGGTTATTCAAAACGACAGTATTAAAAAGATTTACATTATAAAACCAAAACCAGCGATTTAATATTAACAGAGTTATACAATTATTAAACAATTAACTGCGTATTATATTGCAGAAACATTATAATTTTAAAGGTAAGTAATAAAGTTGCAGTCTATATACTCGTGTGTCCCACCGCTGGACGCAGGCCTTTTTCCATTTTTAAGAGGGTCATAGAACAATGGATCAGCCGCGCCTCTCCAGTGTGTGTTGGCAGACTTCACATGTCCCCGAAATATTTTACGTGTGGGTGCCCTTACAATATTTTTTCACCCCAAAGCACATCATGCATGCATCAGCACTTAGAATTGAAAGAATAATTCGTTAGTACCAGTGGGGATTGAAAGCGGGCTGCTTAGATTCTGTGAGATTCATGGCGAGCGTTTAGCCCCTACCTACCACGGTCCATTATAATATTACTGTGTATTAAACTTGAATTTATTTCAATTACAAGTATAAATAAAATTACCTTTATATTCTCAAGTAAAACGCATAGCTAAAAAATAAATTTAACACACATTCGCTTTTGAAAAAAGGAGCTTTAAGTCAACTATAACTACGAAAACATTAATAAATACTGCTCACAAAATAATGTCTTCCACTGGGCACGCATTAGTGAGAGGTTTTTACTATTTCTGATAGTGAGAGAATGTTTAGGAATAAGAAAGATTTCGCCGCTTTGCTCCAATGCTTATTGACTGATTAAATACATGCAGGTTTTGTAACGATGGTACTAGGATCGAATTCGGTTTGTTCGCCTACTATAAAATTTTATTGGGAGCGCTTATGACACCTGAATTAACTATTATTATAGTTTTCTTTTTTTCCTCCTTTATCAGCCTGAAAGTCCACGACTGACTTGAGCCTCCTCCAGTATAGGGAAGATTTGCCTCGTACACGTCAATCATCACGCTTACGCTGATGCCCGTCGCCGGTATGTGTATAGTCTGTTCGCTAAGTTAGTGTCGGTACACCCGGAGGTGCATTTATTATTTTGCTTTTATTTTATTATTTTTTACTGTGTTTGTTAAATAAATGTTTTTCTATTCTAAGAATAAACTAGAATACTATTTTTTAGTCTTATGGTTATTGTAATAAAATACGAATATAATTCATAAACACAAGTAAGATAGCAAATAACCTTTCACTATGGCACTTTGTTTTAAAATGCAATATTCCCCTGCCGGTGTACGCCGCACGGTCCAACCTTTGATGTCGCGGCAGCGTCTTTGACAAGATGCGGCACGTGCCGAGGCCGCGTGATACAAAGGTGACCGTATCTAGACGCACAGACTATATTTTGCGTCTAATATGAAACGAACGAAATGGGGTGATGGATTCTCTTTCGCCGTCACCCCATGGCTATGATATATTATCATTTACTCCAACATAATAAAAATATTTATGTGTATTATAGTATTAAAATAATTGTAATTTATGAGTTATTGTTTATTCTTGATTCTGGTGGGTGGGTGGTTGCGCTGAGACTCTTTATGAAACTATCCGGCATCTGTATATAGGTTTACGTTTTGAACACATGTGAATTGATGAGCACAGATATTCTGCTACGTGTCATCACCAGTCAGTAAAAGTAGATTAAAAAAAAGATTTTACGCCATTTTACTAATTTCACGATGTTTTCATTCTCCGCCGAGAACGTAGTAAATCAAAATTAATAAATAAAAATTCTTTTCTAAAAATAACACTTGTAATGCTGTTAAATACTCTCTGTTAACCACTCCAACTTACCTCAATTGGCAAATACTTGTGATTGGAGTGGTTTACGATATTATTCGAATAGCGGATTTACTTCTTTCCTAGTCGTTAACTTATTAGGCTAGTTGTTTTTTACGACATGCTGGGCAAGTAACACAGTTGTCACATTCTTTTCTGTTATCTTTTCTGTCATAAAGACCATATTATAATCATGGGACCTGTGATATAAGATCCAGACCAACATGGAACAAGAATGTGGATATCGACATACTTATATATATTAGTAACATTAAATTATAATATAATAATATTTTCATTTCAGTTTCGAAAGCAAAAGATATATGGCGAACTTTACGAGACGGGTACGTTCGCTATAAAAAAGAAGCGAAAGGGCAATCGGGCTCAAGCAGAAAATATAGTCATTACATGTGGAGCGAACAAATGGCGTTTTTGGACGAATCGTTGGCATTAAGACCAACAAACACCATTGTAACATCACCACAAATTAAATCCGAACAACCGCAATCCCCAACCTTTCTGGAAGTATCGGTATCACAGCAATCTTCGATTTCTCCTGAGGAAGAACCTTACTCAGTAGCACTTTGGCAGTCCTCTGCACAACCGGGACCTTCATGGACGGAACCACAGCAACAGCTGCACCGAATATCCGATTTCAATTCTTCCACACAATCGCCGCTGCTACTGCATACTCACCCACAGTCGTCACCGTCTTCGTCCATATCAACTTCCGTTCCAAATATAGATGGTCCTTCAATTGCAAAAAAAAGAAAAAACAGCAATAGTGACGAAAATAAATCTGGCGAAGTTCTAGAGTTTTTGAGAAATAGAAGAAAAGTTTACGATGCTGTAGACCACCTTTTTATGAGTTACGCGAAAACATTTAAAAAATTATCTCCAAGAAAACAAATCGAATTAAAAAAGTCGTTAGCAAATCTTTTTGCTGACGCTGAATTAAGTGAGTTGGATAGTGAATTTTCTCGAGAGGAACAATAGGTAGTTTGATACATTCACACACATTATTAGCGATTTTAAAAGCTATAAAGCTGATGTTCAGTACCGAAGAGCTTTCATAGGAAGAGATGATGATTGTGGAAGATCTGTCACAGCAGATAAATAAAGTTGCAAAAACTAATTATCGCTAAATTAAATTATCTAATCGATCCTCAAACTTTAATTTCATTATTAACATCATTATATCAATAGATTGAAATTTGATTTATATTAATCTCGTCAGGTGACATAATATGGTTTTCTGTTGACATAAACACAGTTGCCTGTGTTAATAAATTTAATGAGGGCTAATAATTTTTTGCTCACCAGATGTCGCTAGCGGACACTGAGGTAAAGTTTTTTGTTATACAATGTCATTTAATTGAGAAGTTAGTTTTTAATAAAAGTTTGTCAGTTTCTAGAGTATATTAATACAGAAAACAATGCCTCAGTGGTTTACTCTTTAATTTTTTGCACATATTTTACCTTTTTAAAATTTTCTACTTTTATGAATATCTATGGTTTGGTTTATTTATTTTTCTTATCATATGTTATTAATACAAAATATAGCTAATAGTACAGAAAGAAACATTACCCTTTACATTTTCCGAACAAATTAACTTCACCGATCTTTAAATCTGTCAAATATTATATCTCACTTTTAAGTGGCGCCGCCCTGGTGGCAGGAAAGTCGTGGATGCCCTCATTGACATACTCAATAAGTTTCTATTCATTCCTTGGATGATCTCTTTTGATATTTTTATTATTTACGCGTCCGCGGCTGTGAGGAAACGCGCAGGTTTCGAGAACACGTGAAGTCCGCAAATATGAACTGGCGATGATTTTTCCTTTTTCTAAAGTCCTCTTCAAAATCTGACAGCTCCGTGGTGCAGTAGCTTAGCAATTAATGCAGCGCTAAGGGCCGCGGGTTTAAATTCCGCACGGAACAAGTATTTGCATCTTTTTTAGTAAAAAATATATATAAAATAATATAAAATCTAAACATCATACAAATAATGTTATAAAAAATTATAAAATATATATAAAAGCTACTAAGAAAGTATGTACTTACCAATAATGGAAACGAACTGAAGCCAGCGGATTACGGTGCGTGCGAAAAGTACGTGGGTTTCCGTCAGTTAAAAATTTTAACTTAAGATTTCACATTCACGATCAGGTTTTGGGTGTACGTCAGTTCAACGGAGTAATTTAACTGACAGCACGCCCGAATAAAATCCGTGTGTTGCCGTCAGTTAAAAATTTCAACTCAAGATTTCACATTCACGGTCAGTTTCTGGATGTACGTCAGTTAAACTGATCAGTTTAACTGACCGTGAGTGGCCACCATTGGGTGTTCTGTGGTTTAGCCCCTACCTACCACGGTTCATTATAATTTTACTGTGTATTAGACTTGAATTCATTTCAATTACAAGTATAAATAAAATTACCTTTATATTCTCAAGTAGAATGCATATCTAAAAAATAAATTTAACACACATTCGCTTTTGAAAAAAGGAGCTTTAAGTCATCTATAACTACGAAAGAATTAATAAATACTGCTCACAATATAATGCCCACTACTGGGCACGCATTAGTGAGAGGTTTTTACTATTTCTGATAGTGAGAGAATGTTTAGGAATAAGAAAGATTTCGCCGCTTTGCTCCAATGCTTATTGACTGATTAAATACATGCAGGTTTTGTAACGATGGTACTGGGCTCGAATTTGGTTTGTTCACCTACTATAAAATTTTATTGGGAGCGCTTATGACACCTGAATTAACTATTATTATAGTTTTCTTCTTTTTCTCCTTTATCAGCCTGAAAGTCCACGACTGACTTGAGCCTCCTCCAGTATAGGGAGGATTTGCCTCGTACACTTCAATCATCACGCTTACTCTGATACCCGTCGTCGGTATAGTCGGTATAGTCGGTATAGTCTGTTCGCTAAGTTAGTGTCGGTACACCCGGAGGTGCACTTATTATTTTGATTTTATTTTATTATTTTTTACTGTTTGTTAAATAAATGTTTTTCTATTCTAAGGATAAACTAGAATACTATTTAGTCTTATGGTTATTGTAATAAAATACGAATATAATTCATAAAAACAAGTTAGGTAAGAAATAACCTTTCACTACGGCACTTAGTTTTAAAATGCAAAATTCCCCTGCCGGTGTACGCCGCACGCTCCGACCTTAGATGTCGCGGCGGCGCCGCGTCACAGTATAAATATGAACAGTATGGAAACTAAGCCTAGTTGAGGACATAATTATCTACGCTACATTGAAGCAATAGGGTTGCAACTTTTAAGGTTTTTGATATTGCTTTTTTTTATGTTTTTGTTCTGTAGTGATCAGTCAATCGAATTTAAATAACTAGCTTACAAATACAAGTAAATAGGTATATAATAAAAATCATATAATATAATAAAATAATAATATAATCAAAATCATTCTTACCTTCCAAAATCAGCAGGAAGCTTAAAATACGATAGCTCCGGTTTTGATGAAGCCGAGTTCAAACAGCCGTATACTACGCAATACGTTCGTGCCATTTTTAAAAAGTCTGGACGCGACATTCGCTACTGAGAGCACCGCCACGAGCGCTTAGAAGTCTCGTCATTTCGCATGTTTGTGTGAGTGTGCCGTTTGGATCGTTTGTAGGTAGTTTCCATACTGTTCCTACTATATATTTATACTGTGGCCGCGTGATACAAAGGTGACCGTATCTAAACGCACAGACTATATTTTGCGTCTAATTTAAATAAGATAATTATATCGTCATCTATCGAAAGTCATAAGATTTTTCTAGCATTTCTTAGCCCTTAGGCTCTTACGATCTATCTTATATGAGCTAGGAAATGCTAGAAAAATCTTATATGTAAAATTAATCTTCTAAATGTAAACTTTGTTTCAAAACAATGCTTAAAATTAAGAGAATTTTAAATGAAACCATTTATGGAACAGAAACATAATTGTATAGTTACATATGGATAGTTTAACTTTCTTATAATTTCCAGATAATAATTAATGACGCAGTATGCAGATAAAACTGTAATTAAAAAGTAATTAATATTCGCCAACGTATCGTAAATCCATAATAATATGTTCACGCGAGACATGGGTGTTGTTCTACGTATAATACGCTATAGAAGAGGGGGCAAACGAGCATGCGGCTCACTTGATGGTAAGTGACTACCGCCGCCCATGAACAACTGCAACACCAGCGTAATTGCAGGTGCGTTGCTGGCCTTTTAGAAAGGAGTAAGCTCTTTTCTTGAAGGTCCCTAAGCCGTACGATCCGGAAAAATCACCGGTGGTACACGATTCCACAGAGGGGTCGTACGAGTTAGAAAACTCCTAGTGAAGCGTTATTTTTTTACGTTATAGTTATTTTACGTCTGTCTCAAACGGGATGGTTATTCCACCATCAATCGGAAGTCATGATGTCTTCGAACTATTTCAAACTCACTATACATTTAGATTTTTTTTATAGTATAGGGTGCCAAACGAGCACACAGTCCACGTGATGGTAAGTGGTTGCTGTGACCCATAGACATCTACATTTATCCTCGTTTGAGAATCAAAATGCAGATGCGTTGCCACCCGTGAGGACTAAGATGGAATGCCTCGTTTCCAGTAAAAAGCGGTCTCCGGTTCTCTGCACTCACCATACGAAACACAGCAGTGGTAAGCTGCTATTTGACGCTGGTATTCTGTGATCTTTGCTGTAAGGCATAAAACCTGATTAAAATGGTCTCAATGTTCGGCCTATTCTCTATTACATTGCTGAACAAATTTTTATGTAAGAATGACCGCGTAAAGTATATCGCACTGCAATGGCAGTAATAAACAAACAAATGCATTAGAAAGCGGAGAAAACGCGCTGATAATCGTGCGTAACTATAAATCACGTTAGACACGAGCTGTGTTCGCTATTGCCCGTGATTAATGCAATTTTGTTGAATTTTATGTTTAAGGTTTATGTCGACGCAATAAAAATGTACAAAGCAGCAAGAGCAAGAGACGGAGTTTTCAAAAAAGATTGCAAGTACTAAAAAGTGCACGCACGCAATGTGTTAGCTCGTAAAACTGCCTTTACCTACATGTTACTATTTATTATAAAAGAGAGTAGGAATACTGAAGTGTTTTCGAAAGGAACCAAGTCTGCATGATTCTGTAGAAAGTTAAAAATTAAGTCATTTCGTATCTCGAAATGACTTAATTTTTAACTTTCTTCTTTCTTTTTCTTTTCTTTTAACTTCTTTCTTTAAGGTTAAATTATAGAAAATAATACTTTTTACATACGGGTAGGATTTCTTTTCTACCTAAAAGACCGTCAGGGTAGTTACCACCCTTTAACTCTTTCTGCCACCAAATATCAATGCTTAAACCATCTTGGTCTACAGAGGTGACTCACAGTAAAGCATATTATGTAGCCTTTGTATAAAGCTGGCTGCAGGTGTCCATGTTTCTTTTTTATGAGAGGGGGCAAACGAGCATACGGCTCACCTGATGGTAAGTGATTACCGCTGCCCATGAACAACTGCAACACCAGGGGAGTTGCAGGCGCTTTGTCGGCCTTTTAAAAAAAAAGTTGACTCGCTTTTCTAAGTCGAAAAGGTCCGGGAAATAATTGCTGGTGGTATTCGATTCCACAAGGAAGTTGGGTGATGAAGAAAACTACAGTAGCTACTTACTATTACACTAGGACCGGATTTTAAATTCGCATATCACTTCAATTTTATAAAGAATTATTTACTAATTCCTCTTGTTTACTAGTGATGGTAGATATATGTTCTAATTTATAATCATACGCGTTTAATTAAATATATATTTATGAAATAAATTTGATCTTTTATTAAAATGGATGACAATATCGAGTGATTTTATCCATTTAGAAACGATTTATAACGTCTATAATGTATAAAAAGTTAAAGTTACAGCCTACTATATACTTCCGCCGGAAGTGTCCGCCGGAACTGTACCAATTATCTCTTATATT